CTCCCGTGGAACGTGTGCTTCTTACACCTCCCGTGGAACGTGTGCTTCCTACAGTGTTCTTGGAATGTCTCGCACTATTGAACAGCAAAAAACACACACACAAAAAGTTAGGAAACATTTTTAAAATAACTGGGAAAACACCATCACTTGCAACCCTTTCCAAGCATTTCCTTTCCAAATCCCATTTCTCGTTCCTTGCATCAACAGCGTGCACCCAGGGAAGTTCAGGTTATGACAATATCGTTTAGAAAGCAGAGCCCCTACCTCACCAGCATTGTTAAAAGGACATACAAGAGAGCAAAAGATTGCACCGGACAGTGTGCCTAAACCCCTGGTTATGTGTGTGCACGTGTGCGTACTAGTCGTGATGTTACTGTTAGTTGAAGTAGCAGGGAAAACTGCTTACAGCTGTGGAGGGCTTGCTAGACCCGACTGCAGGGCCCCGCCCCACAGGGTCCGATTCCCTAAGTCCGGGCTGGGGTCTGAGGTTTGCATCTCTAACAAGTTCCCGGTGCTGCCCACGCTGCGGGGCAAGGAACCCCACTCGGAGAACCACGGCTGTATCTGACTTTCAGACCCAAAGAAGACAGCACAGGCATCCACTTTAGGACATTTAGTGATGTGGGGGTGCAGGTGAGTTAAGTGACTTACCGTGGTCACAGTCAAGTAACCAGATGCATAGCTTCTTAACCTAAACTCGTGCCTTAACTGTGCTCCCAAAATTGGTCGTTTCTTTCTTACCTTCGGCAAGGAGCAAGGGGGCGGGGTAGGGGAGATTTCCAAAAGATGGAAACCCCTGTATGTAAAAGTTTTGCTGTATGCACACCAGTGCATTTTGGGAGGAGGGATGAACAGATTTCATGAGTCTCAAAGGGAAAAAAAATGTTTATATATAAATACATAAATAAAATGTTATATATGACATATAAATAAAAATGTTATATAAAAAGCGGCAGCTTGGTCATCTCCCCTAACCCAACCCCGCTGAGATGTGGTTCAGCTTTAAGATCTGTGGTTTGTGTTATAAAAACCCAGCAAGGGCTTGGAAAAGAAGAATACTGACTACCAGCCAGAGCACAGGTCGCAGGAATGAGATGTCGGGCAAGGAGCAGGCGCTCAGTGTTTGTTGGATAGCTGGTTTCAAAGTGTTCTGAGCCTACTTTACGCTCACCCAGAGTAACGCCAACACTAGCTACCATTCCTTCCTGCGCGCCCGGCAGTGTTAAACCGTAACCCCATTTAAGGCTCACGGCAATCCTATGGGGTGGGGATTATTCCCATTTTACAGACGGGAAAACCGAGGCCCAGAGTAAAACGGTGAAACTAACGCAATGGTAGAGCCTGGGCGCCTCGCTAGCAGCACAGCTGCCAGGGGCACAAAGCGCGGTAGGACTAGAAGATAAAGCCGGCCTCGGGCCTGCGCTCCCAGGGGCCGCAGCACTTACCCCGCGCCTCGTCGGGTCCGCACTCGTCCCGCGGAGGCCATCCCGACCACCGCCGCTTTCCCAGCCCACGGAGCCCACGAATCTCCCGCCAACACCAACGCCGCTCCGAGCAGCCAATCCGGGCAGAGCGCACGCGCACGCGCACGCGCACGTACCAAGCCCCGCCCCTTCCTTATTTACCAGCGCCCCAGGGCCCCGCCCCGTCCTAGAGCGCGAGGGAAAACGCGGCCTGGTACACCACAAAACGCGGAGCTGGAGCCCACGTTTTACAACCAGCTGCTGACGGCCCCGACGCCAAAGATTTGCCGAGCTTTCCCTCCCACCCGCGCCTGCGCCAATTTTCAGGGCTCCACGGCTCGGGAACCGGAAAGGGGAGGGCCCCTAGCCGAAAAGTCAAAGGGCTCTCAGCAAAGAGGCGGATCCAAACCCTGGGCTGGGGCGCCTGCGCAGTTGTCTAGTGCAGAGCGCTGCCCAATAGGCTGGATTTGACTGCCAGTCCGCTGCCCTTAACCAGTGGCGAGAACTGGGGGTGTTTCTTCATCCATCAGTGGGAGGACCCTGCAAAACAATGATGTTGGGCCTCATCACACCGTCAATAAAAATGCACCCAAAGTGGACCAAAAGCTTAAACCTAAGCGCTAAACGATGACACGTTTAGGAGAAAGCGGAGGGCAAAGCTTCGTGAGGGATTCGGGAATGATCGCTTGGACGTGCCGCGCAGGCGCAGTGGGTGATGGAACGGTCCGCAGAGGCACGGCCGCGGGGGGCTGTGGGACAGGGAGTGAATGAGCTCAAGCCATTGCGCCAATCGTACAGCTAAAAGCGGTCACAGTGCTAAATGTGACGTTAGGCATCTGTGACCACAACAGGAAATATGAGCATCTGTCATGCATGCAGAAGAACCTAGCATAATGTCAACATAAAAAGAAGCGCCCATGTACTCACCACTGGATTAGGAAATAAACCGTTACCATCCCTCCCCAGGGTAAATTTGATCATTCCCAGGCTTTTCTATCAGGCCTATATCCCTAAATACTGCGTTAATTATTGTATGTTTCTAAACTTTATATGGACATCTGCTATGTATGCTGCAGGTGCTCTTTCTCACTCAGAGCTATGATTTAGCCACGTTGCTGCACGGGGCTGTAGTTTGTTTATTTTCATTCTTTGGGTTGCATTAAATAAATATACGACATTGTACGGATCCACTCTCCTGGGTCCGGATACATCAGTTGTTTTTTTGTTTTGTTTTGTTTTTGTTTTTGTTTTTGCTATTACCACCATGCAGCACTAAACAGTCTTGCGTGTTGCAGGATACATGTCTAAGGGTTTCTCTAGGGAGAGACTCAGTGGTAAAACGATCACCTCGTTATTTAAAGGCATTTTCAGCTTTACATGATAAAGCCAATTTTTACACATTGTTTAGTAGACAATTTACAGCCTCACTAGCAGTATATAAAAGTACCCTTGGCTCCATATACTTGTTGATACCTAGAACTTTTCAAGACTTTCAAATTTTTACCTAACTAGTGCATTGAAATAGTACCTATTGTTGTTGTTTTTTTAATTTGCATTTCCCTGGAGTTGGTCATCTTTTCTTTTTTTTTTTAAACCTCACCTGAGGATATTTTTTCCATTGATTTTTAGAGAGAGTGGAAGGAAGGGAAGAGAGAGAGAGAGAGAGAGAGAGAGAGAGAGAGAGAAACACATCGATGTGAGAGAGGCACATTGACTAGTTGCCTCCCCTAGATACTAGTATATAGAAGGGCTTATCATTTCTTATTGCGCTTTTGCTTTTTTCCTAGTGAGCTCTCCTGTTGAATTTTCTGTTCAGCATGTGCCCACTAGAGGGCAGATACAGAACGGGACAGGAGATTTGGAAAGGTATTTGGAGACCAGAGCCACTGGTTTGCAGACATTGTAAATATTAGTTCAAAGTCGGTTCCAGACGAATAAGACTAGATGTCTTCAATGCCCTTGCCCAACTCGTTTTCCTCCTCCTTGTGCACTATCTTCTCCCCTAATTTATCAAACCCATTCCTGTAAGTTTCCTTTAAAAGGAGTATGATTTTCTACTATGGAAAAGAGAACAGTTTACTTTTTAACTTCCTACAGTACCAACTAATTACTACATGGGAATAACCCACCAAACTTGGCAGTTTTCCTCGGGAAGAAACGAAGGTCATTATCTGCTGTAAACAGACCAACGGCTCAACATCTGTGATTATGACGCAGCAAAACAGACCTGCAGCTCCCGGGAGGGCGGGCCAGGGTGAGGCCGGGAAGGAGGCCTGCACGGGGATGTTCCCTTTAAGGAAAGAGGAAACGCAGTTCGGAAAGGACGCCCTCTTGGGCGACCGTGAAAGCTGGAGGGCAGGAAGGTTTTTCCACTGTCACCAGGGCAGGGACACGAGATGCCCCCGTGGGTCACATGCTTTCTTCCTGGCACTGAGCGACCGGTCAACTTATTTGCTCGGTAACGCATGTACTTTTTCCAGACCCAACTGGCACGGCCCCTGCCAAGCTGAGATCACATGGCTAAATCGGCCTGGCTCAGTCACATGTCTCAGATTCCATTCCCAGCAAATTCCAGGACTTCTCCAGCCGGGGAGTCGCTGACTTCCAACCTGCACGGGAAATAATTTTACAGCTCAAGTGAGCAGAGAAAATAATAAAAGGACAGCCCTCTAAACTGTTTTCTTAAGAAAAGAAGGGAGGAAAGGGTCCCAGAATAAAGTTTCTACAGTAGAGACAGGTCTCCATGACTTGCACTCAAGCTGTGGTCGAGAACCTTCCGAAAAAGGTTTCACCCTTGCCATGACCTTGCTCACAGGACAGACACCCCGTTTGCGGCCTGAGAACACAGACAGCGGTGAGGCTGGCCTTGTTCAGGGTCCCGGCAGCTGCTGTCTTTACTTCAGGGATCCTTCCTGCTCAACCAAGAACCGAGCAGCGAGCAGCGGGAGACCCATCGGACACTGACCTCACTGGCCTCCCGCCTCCGGGGGGGCAGACGACCTTGCGAGGACCTTCTCTAGGAGGAAGGAGCTCCCTCATTCTCCGGCTGCTGCCCTGAAACTCCCAGGCTCGCTCACTCTCCCCTTGACCTTGCCACAGGCAGAGGGATTGCTACCACCTTCCTTTCCACCGCGCACCACTGAGCCGCCCAGTCCGAGAAGGCTAGAGGAGGTGACGCCTACATAGTGCCTGCAGTGAAGGGGGAGCCAGCCAGGCCGGGGAAAGAGTGCTCCTGGGAGACAGCCTGCACCGAGGCCCAGCGGGGAGCCGGGGCGGGGAGCCTTCTGGGCGCTGGAAGTTCAGTGTGGCTGGAACAGAGTTGGGGACGAGGCTAGGGAGACAGCAGGGCTCCCCCCCGGCCCCAGCTCCTTGCAGCGTTAGCATCACCCGGAGCTTATGAGAAATGCAGAGTTTCAGGCCTGAGTCCAGAATTGCTGAGTCAGAGCCCGAGCTTTCAGATGCCGGGATGGACGCACAGCAAGTTTGAGAAGCACCTCAGCGCTCGGACTCAGAGCTCCGGGCCACGTGGGAAAGGTGAGGGAGCCACTGGGGCCAATCCAGGACACAGGAGGTCAGTTAAGAGCCGGTGCAGTTGTCCAGCAAGAGACGGCCCGCGCCCCTACAGGGCCGAGGGGTAAGGGGCAGAGGGCAGTGGACAGATTTCATGGCCAAGGGACAGGTTCAGCAGGCTGTGGTCTGAAGCCACTGGTGGGGGGGGCAGCCCCGAACCTCCAGAGGCCCGGCCCAGGACAGCTCAGTGGGCGGGGCAGGCTGGCCCCAGAGGCAGGGCGGAGGGAGCAGTATCGGGGGTGTGGGAACCAGGCCTCTCAGAAACGGGGTTCCTCTGCGTCTGCACGTTGTCTGATGCAGAATGTGAGCCGACCGGTTTCCTGTGCGCCTCCCGTGGGGCCTGCGCGCGTGGGCGCCCCTGCAGCCCGGCACCCATGGCACACCCCACTCACCCTCCATCCCAACCAGCCACAGGCCGAGCAGGGAGCCTGCCCGAGTTCTTGGCGGGAAACGCAGCAGCCTTGATCGTTAGCCAGGACACGTCCTGTTAGGGAAATCTGACGGCAACAGTCCCCCCCCCCCCCCCCGCCCCCAACCTCAGCGGCAGAGAGTGGCTAAGAACGTCCACGGAGCATATATTTGTGGGAGCCCCACCTGTTTCCAGCCCAGAACAGAGTCCCTCGGACTCGAAGGACCAGGCTGAGAATTCCCCAGCAACACTCGCCATCCGAGCAACAAGCACAGTGCAGTGGAGGGCGTGAAAGGCAGGGCAGTCTGCTGTCTCTCGGTGCTAAATATGCAGCTGGTAGAGGATATGGGTCAGTTTCTCCAGTGCCCACACCAGTGGCGTGAGTTCTATACAAACAGCCGTGGCATCTGCTCTCGCACACAGGGCGGGGCCAGCTGAGCTGAGCTGAGCTGGGCTGGGCAGCTGCTGACGGACAGGAGGTCTGCCCTGTGGGGAGACTCAGTGCCCCCCTCCTTCCCTGTGGGGGCTGGGGACAGGGTGGGGGGTGTGCGGCATGGGTGGGGTGGGAGGTGCGAAGTCTGCTCCTTAACAGACCCACCGCCCTCCCCTCTCCAGGTGCTGCGGGACCCCCTGCCCTCGGCCCCCTGCTCTGCCCAGCACCCGGGGACCGGCCGGCAGGCCTCCCTTCTGCTTGTGCTGCCGGGGAAACAAGCGCTGCGTGTGATGAAAACACGGCCAGGCAAGCCCAGCCCCAGGCATTACTCTCCTCCACCTGAGGGGACTCCAACAGTGAGCAGGCGTGTTCACCTTGGGGGGCCCCCCATGACCTACTTACATCTGTGCTTACACACCTCCACATCCCTCCATGACCTACTTACATCTGTGCTTACACACCTCCACATCCCCCTCCCACCCCCCCCCACCCCCCACACACACACTGTGATGGAAGGGATTCCCTATTGGTGGCCGATCCCTGGACTCAACAGTGGGTTTTACCCTCTGCCTTCCAGGGGCAGCCTCCTGTCTTTTCTGCATATTTTCCCTTCTCTCTCCGCCCCCCCCCCCCCCCCCGCCCCAGGACCATTCCATGGGGATAGCGGGAGGCTGTGGAATCTCCCCTCTCCCGGCTTAAAATCCTGCACCCCCAGGTAACAAGAGCACCCCTCTCACCCTCCCATCTTTCTAGGCAGGAACCTTCCATCTAAGGTCCTTCACAGTAAACTTCAAAAGAAAGAAAAAACAAGGAGCTGCCTGCCCTTCCCCACTTCCCTCCGGTTCCGCCTCTGCCTGCTTCACCAGGTCTGGGCTCCCTGCTCTGTGGACACTAGCATTGTGAGCCCAGCAGCCATTCCTGTCCCCACTGCACCCCCCCCCCTCCTGCCAGCAGGGGAGGGGACTGCCCCCTCCACCTCTTCCTGAGCACTTTCTGCTCTTGGCTTCAGGGAGCTCACCCCTGGTTTCCCCGCCCTTCTCCGGCAGGCAGGCCTCACGCCCTGTCGCGGCTCCTCCGGTAACTTTGTTCAAACACCAAGGGCACCAGGGCTTTGTTGGGGCCACCTTGTTGGCTGCCCAGGCTTCCAGGTCCCCGCTGACGGCCCTTGCCCATCGAGGCGTTGTGAGGAGGACACGAGCACCTGCGCAGAGTGCGGTGGCGTGTTGCCCACAGCAAACCTAGTCCCTGCGGCCCGAGCGGGCGACGCCCAGACCTTCCCAGGGACCTCATGAGCCTGCCGCGTGTGTCTGTGCCGGCTTTCCCCTGCCTTCCTCCTGAAGCAGAGCAGCTGGTCCTACCAAAGCTAGGGTCCTTAACGATCTGGGGTTCCCAGCGTCTCCGAGAGCAGCCACCTGTCATTTTTGAGGAGCCATACCCCGGACCACAAGTCTGTGCAGGGGTCCGAGAGCAGCCACCTGTCATTTTAGACAATCCTTAGGAGCCCAATCCACAAGTCTGTGCAGGGGTCGGAGCCCCTCCGGGACAAAGACAATCCTTAGGAGCCCAAGCCACTCGCCTGAAGCTCAGCAGCACCGCCGCCACCCAGCAGCCACCCAGCTGCCACCCAGCAGCCACCCAGCTGCCACCCAGCAGCCACCCAGCTGCCACCCAGCAGCCACCCAGTGACACGTTTTGTCAGCCAGTTCGTGGCCAAAGGCAGAGGAGAGCTTCTGCAGCCCGAGGCCAAGGTTGTTCTAGAGCCAGGCAGCCTGGCTCCGGTCCTGCCCAGCCCGACAGGGATCAAACTGTTGCCGTGCTCCGATGTCCTCATCTGTGAAATGGGGAAATAGCCCGCATTTGGCTCGGAGAGTTGAAACATGACATGGGTCATCAGTGTAAAATGCTAAGAATAGTGCCTGGCCTGCAGCAACTCTCTACACCTCTCAGTTCTTCGCAGTATTCCAAGGAATCTAATAACTGAGAGTGGGACCAAAATATGTAACGGCCAAATGCCAAATATACTTACTTAAAAACAGACCGTATTTTGGAGTTGAGATAGTGAGGGCGTGTCGTAGCTGGGCCTGCCGGGACGGGTGGGATGAGCTCAGGACAGCAGGGCGACTTCGGCTGGATCAGCGCTTCCCACCTGGGCCTCTGGGCTCAGGCTGTGCCCTGGCTACTGAGAGGCAGCTAGTGAAAGGAGCCCGCACACAAGGGCCTGGCGGGAGAGAGGACGCCTCGTTCCTCCTGTCCTGGCTGGAGAGAAGGGCTGAGACAGAGACCACGGCTCTGGAGGTGCAGTTTTGATCTGGGGGGTGGAGGACCACCATCGTGCTGTAGGTGAGCAGGCACTGCCCCAACAGTGCACCATCAAAGTTAAGAACCCGGAAGGGCCCAGCCGGCGTGGCTCAGTAACACTAGTTGATCTATGAACCAGAAGGTCAGGGTTTGATTCCAGGTCAGGGCACGTGCCCGGTTTGTGAGCTCGATCCCCAGTGTGGGGCGTGCAAGAGGCAGCCAATCAATGATTCTCTCTCATCATTGACGTTTCTCTGCCTCTCTGAAATCAATAAAAAAGTATTTTTTAAAAAGAGAATTGGGAAGTATTTATGGATTAATACTTTTAATATTTAAAGAACTCCTATAGCTCAATAACAAACAAACAACCCAATTTTTAAAATGGGAAAAGGACTTAGGCTTTTCTCCAAAGAAGACACACAGATGGCCCATGAGCACGGAAAGGACACTCAACTTTACTGTCCCCACGAAAATGCATCAAAACCACAATGAGACACCAGTGTGCACCGATTAGGATGGCCGTTATAGATATAACAGAACGCAGAAACCAACAAGGACACGTGAGGCTGTGGAGAAACTGGAACCCCAGCGCTGCTGATGTAAGATGTGGAAAACGGCACGGCAGTTCCTCAGAAAGAGTAAGAGCAGAATCACTGTCGGATCCAACGGCTCTGTTTCTGGATGGATACCCCAAACCGGAAGCAGGGGCTGAGACGGCGCTGGCACGCCCGTGCTCACAGCAGCGTTAGTCACCATAGCCAGAGGGTAGGAACCACCCAGTGTCCATCAACGGTGAACGGACCAACAAAATGTGGTGTGTACACACAGGGGGACATTATTCAGCCTCATGAAAGGAAATGCTGGCACCTCCTACAACAGAGGGACCCTGAGGACGCTGTGCTGAGGGAAGGAAGCCAGTCACCGGAGGACATAGGCTGGACCCCATTTGTGTGCGGCACCTGGAGAAGGAAGTCAGTCTTGGAGACGGAGTACCCTGTGGCCGCCAGGGCTGAGGGAGGGACGCCAGGGCTGAGGGAGGGAGGAGGGAGGAGGGAGGAGGGATGAGTTAGGGCTGAGGGGAGACCGGCTTACACACAACAGGCTAAGAAACTGAGGACACCCGGTGGTGTGGCTCAGTGGTTGAGCATCGACCTATGAACCAAGAGGTCACTGGCTTGATTCCAGGTCAGGCCACATGCCCAGGATGTGGGCTCGATCCCCAGTCGGGGGCATGCAGGAGGCAGCCCATCAATGATTCTGTCATCATTGGTGTTTCTCTCTCTCTCCCTCTCCTTTCCTCTCTGAAATCAATAAAAAAAGCAAAAAGCAAAAAGTTTTAAAGAGAAATTGAGGGTTGATTCATTAACACCAACGGAAGGGGAAAGCTTTACAAGGACAGCGTAGGACAGGGTAGAGGACAGGGCACAGGCAAGGCCGCTGCTCTCGGAGACCAGTTCTAAGCCAGGAGAGAACAGACAGGATGGACTAAAACAGCAGAATTCGGCCCAGCACGGAACCACCCGCTACAGCGCATCTCCTGAAAGGGGGTTTTCCAGCAAAGAGTGCATTTCCAAGACTGTGCTTATTCCCTCCGTGGGTTCCTTCTCCACACCCAGCAGGGCTGCAACCGGAGCCGTGCAGGACGCGTTAGAGGAGGCGGGGAGGAGGGGGCCGGGGAGCAGGGGGGCCGGAGGGGGAGGCAGGGTCCTTAGGGGCCCAGGGCCACGCCTGCTGCCCCAATGCCACGCCCGACCTGAAAACAGACGCTCCACTCCCGTGAAATGCAGAAATATTTATTTTGGTTTCCTTCATTGTTTTTGGAAATTCTGTTTTGGTTTATAAAACATAGAAATAGCCAACACTTAAAGCAAACATTCGAAACCCCCATGTGACGAGTTACTGACACTGTGCAGTGAGGAACGTACACTCGGGTTAGGCTACGGAGCGTCACATGCCGAGGACGTGAGCGCGACCCCCGTGCTGTGCGCCACGTGCGCTCGCGCCCAGAAGCGACCGCTTCAAGTGCATGATGACAACGGACTCCCGTGCCCGTGGCAGAGGCCTGCGGTGAGTGAAATGCTGCTAATTTCCCAAATTAACTGAAAGGAGTCCCGGGAGGCGCGGCTCCCAGGAAGCGAGTGCCGGCCTTCCACCCCAGAATTTGGCTTTTGCCGAATCATTTCACAGGAGCCAGGCAGCGTGAGGCAGGAGAGCGAGTTTATTACCGTCCATTCCCGTTCGTGCCCACGTCTATCCACGCCCTCATCGCCTCGAAGACACGCCTTGCCTGAGAGTTTACTCTGGGGAAAAGCCAGTGACTCACAACGTGAACTTCTGATACGAGAACCACATTAAAAACCCGTGGGCCACCACAAACAGAGGGATGTTCAGCGGAGATGAAGTGGACAGTTGCTGAGGCGTCACAGTTGAGCGTGGTCTTGCCAGGTGAGTCTTTCCTTCTTGAAATGCTTGTCCTCACTGTCGAGTGTAAGGCAGGTTTTCTCACAACCCCGGGGACAGAGGGCGGGCGGGCCGGAGAGGAGCCCCGAGAGCACGCTGCTCCGTGGGCGCCGGGAGCGGCCCGCGCCTGAGACTCGGTGTCAACACTGTCCGGAGTCCGTCTGTCCTGGGCTTCGTGGGAACCTTCTGCGCCAACAGGAACAAGAGTCGGGAGGAAGAGCAGGTGTTCCAGAAGCCTTCATCCGAGGGGCGTGAGCGTGGGGGCGGGGGGCAGGGGAGGTGACAGGGATAAAACAATCTCTGGTCCGCGTGTGACGGTCTCCAGCCGGACGCTGTTCGTGAGGGACAGGTTCCTTCCAGTGCACAGACTCCCGAGCAGCGGGCAGCTGCAGGGTTTGCAGCAAGCAGCAGACATTCAGAAAGAGCAAGTCCGAGTCCCTTGGTTGGGAAAACAGGGGGACAAGTTCCACATCCGCCTTCGGACCCAAGGAATCGCGAGTAACCTAGCACACGTAAAGTTTCCCTTGACAATTGTTAAGGCTCGTTTTGGAAATGGTGTATCACCACATGGGGACATGGTCTGCCACGCCCGGCGACTGCAAGGCAGAGTCCCGCTTCCTCTAATATTCCTATGACAAGAACCCGACGCACAAGTCACACACGGCGCCCTTCCCTATGCTCTGTAGTCAAATCGCCCACGTGAAGGCCACCGGGAGGAGGAGACGGCGGAGGTATGTGGTTTCTCCGAGCTCCTCCTCCCTTAAACCTTGATGGTGGAATACAGTTCGTCTATCTGTGACCTGAAGTAATTCCGAAGTTCTGGCCTTTTCGCCTTCATCGTCGGGGTCAGGAGGCCGTTTTCGATAGAGAACAGTTCAGGGTGGAGAGCGAGGCCCTTGACCTGCAAATCAGCAAGGAGGAGGGGCAGGTGGAACCCCAGTCCCAAGCACCTCGGCCCCAGGGGATCGAGGCCCTGATGCTGGTCCCAACCAACCTCTCACCAAGGGAAGGGCGGGCGGCATTCTGAGGACAGAGGTCAGGACTGCTCCCTGACCTCCAGGAAGAGAATCTCGCCCCCCCCCGCCCCCCCGCCATTAGAGAAACCCCTCCCTGCCAACCACCCCACTGCCCTCCTCATGCACGTCCTGAGGTCATCTCACCCCCCCTATGACCTACAAGAACGGAGGCACTTTCCAGGGAGTCTCACCTGCTCGAATGGCTTCAGGCCAGACTCCTTCCCCAGCCTCACCAAGTCCTCTAGGATGGCTTTCTTGACCTCCTAAAGAGACAAGAGAATGAGACGCAGCCTGGGGACAAGCCTGCAGCCTGGGAGGGGTGGGGGGTGGGTGGGTGGGGGGAAGCCCTGCACGCACTTGCACACTCGGCTGGAGGCTGGAGGCCTGCACCCTTACCTTGCTGCGGCACAGCTCCTCGAAGGACCCCGCCAGGCCTCGCTTCCCCGCCCAGCGGCCCAGCGTCTCCACGTCGGGAACCACGATTGCGACAAGAAAGGCCTTTAACACAGACAGGGGGGTTACTACCTGGCCTGACCCGCAAGTTCTAGCATCGCAGACGCCCAGGAAACTGGCACAGGCTGCAGGTCCTCTGCAGACCCTCCCGCCAGCCCGGCCCTGGCCAGGGCAGAGCTCCGGGCTCTAAGTCCACGGCATCAGGAATTTCACAACCATGTCCTCTGAGAACCACTGGCGATCAAGATCTAACAAGACCCTGCTTTTTATTTACTTTTGGGTGTACCTTTCAAAAATAAAACGGTCAAGTAGGCAAAAAGGTGGCAGAGAGCAGGTAAATAAATAAATAACAAGTAACAGGCATGGTAAGATTCTAGGTCAAAGAAAAACAGGCGTCTTCTTTTATGAGAAAACATTCTTCTAAAGCTCAAGTTTATAACAGGATTAACCTTCAGGAAACTAGGTCCCCTTCTCTCCCTTGTCACCATCTGTCCAACATTTAGACGTTTCGCTACAATACTGACCTTGGTTTTCAACTGTAAGTGTATGTTGGCTCACAGCCACCGTTTGTTCACAGATGATGTGGGAGGCAGATCGTAAGTAAGTTGGGTTTAATAAGTTGGAAAACGCTAAACTTTAGAATAATCCATGTCAGTATTTCCCTCCGAATTAAACTGGGAGCGTAATTTTACCCACTCCCTAGTAGCTTTTATCCGGCCTCCCTTGGTACTCTGGGTAAGATAGCAATGTGGAAAGTAAAGAGAAGAAACTTTTCTGAGTAAGAACCCCGAGAGCAAAGACCACCAATGCATCCGTAACATTCCAGCGGGTCAGGCCAGAGAGCTGTCCCACCATCGCACTGGGACCTGGAGACAGGCCTCGCCACGCCCGCGCGTCAGAGCGCACAGCTCGGAAGGCGCCTACCTGCAGGCTCTCTCCGTGGACAAACACCTGAGCCACAGGCTCGCTCCGCAGGTAGATGTTCTCGATCTTTTCGGGGGCGATGTATTCTCCTTGTGCCAGCTTAAATATGTGCTTCTTCCTGTCGATGATCTTCAAGGCCCCGTTCTGTCCAGCAGAGAGGAGGGCTGTGAGTGGCCAGGCTGGCCGCCCCCGGGGTCACGCACTGCACAGGGCACTTTGTGGCGCCCTTGTTCCATCCTAACCACGCCCGGCAGGGTCAGTTACCATCCCGTTTTACAGAGAGGGAAACTGAGGCTCAGAGAGACTAAGAACTTGCCCAAGGCCACTGAGCCAAGCAGGGAGAGAGGCGTGACCCGGCGGAGCCCATGCTCACCCCGCTTCGCCCCTCGCCAGCTCTGGCAGCGCTCAAGGGGCTGCTGTCAGAGGGGCCAGCTCCGTGCAGCCTCAGTGAGGCTCAGCAATGCTTCCTACACGACAGGGGTTTATCCCTGCCCCAGGGCTCCCGGCCCTTCGGGGAGCGTTGGTCACCTGCCCACCTAACCCTGTGGCACCCTGGAGTCTCTGGCCAGACCAGCCGAATGCCAGCAGTGCCCACCGACTTTCACCCCTCCCCACCCGGGGCCACTGCGGGGGAACTTCCAGGCTCTCACTCCACCCCCATCCTCCTCCGCTTTCAACAGGAGCCTCCAGGGTGCAGAGGTTTGGAGCTGTGCTCGCTAGAGCCAGAGCCAGCGCCAGGTTGAGAACCGATGCTTAATCCCTCTTGAACCTGGGAAGAGGGACTTAATTTATTCCTAAAGAGCGTGGGTATCTGAAATCTGAATTACTCAGGGAGGCATTTTTCAAATCAATACAAATGTCATCGTGTTAAGCACCTTGGATCTGTAAGAATCAAACAACACACCATAAAAATTACATTAGCCGTTTCAGTGTTTGCAGTTAAACACTGTTAACGACTTTGAAAAGCAGTGGCTGTTACTGCAGCTGCAAAACTGGCCAAATCTCTGGGGGCCGCATCTGCCAGGCCTCCCGCTCCTCAGCGGCGTCTGGGATTCCTCTGCAGTAAATGGCCCTGAGACCAAGTAGAGAGGAGGCGGTCTGAGCTGGGAAATGCCTGTCCTATTTTCAAGAGGATGAACCCAAGAACCCCAGGTGTTCAGATCCTGCCCTCGTCCCTGGCAGCCCACCACGGACACCTGTTCACCTGCAGCCTCAGCGGCAGGCACAGCGCTGCCAGTAAAAAGCCACAGGCTCTCTGCATTTCAAACAGGAAGCAGCAATCAGAACTGATGGCAGCCACCAACGTGAAACCTCCCGCCCAGTTCCCGTGAGAATCCTGCACGCTTGCTAAGGGACAGGCCTGGCCCCCGGCCCCCAGGACAAAGGGAAAGGGAGCGCCAGGGGCCGCTGCGCATGGCAGGTGCACAGCAACGGGGCATGCTCTTCCCTCCAGGGCAGGGAACGGGAGGGGACCGACCACTCACCGGTAACCATTTCCCGATGTCCCCTGTGTGCAGCCAGCCGTCTTTGTCCAGCGCTTCCGCTGTTTTCGCCGGGTCCTTCAGGTAGCCTTGAAATACGTTTGGCCCTTTCACACACACCTGAGGGGGAGGACGGGGTGGGTGGGAGATGGAGGAGGTCAGGAGGGACACACCCCAGAATAAGGGGAGCAGGTGCGGAGGACGGCCTGCGGAGGTGTATCCGGAAGCTGTTCCGAGAGGAGGTCCCAGGAGTCCTCACCACAGGAGGAGACATTCCTTTTAGGGTTCGGTGCCTCTGTGAGGTGAGGCTGTGGACTAACTTGCTGCGGCCATCATTTCAGCACAGGCAGGCCAGGCCCTGGTGCCGTACACCTCAGACCTGCCCGCCTGCGTGTCAGCCACACTCAATCCCTGGGGAAGGTGACCTGTTGGCGGCATTCACAGGGGCTTCTCCAGAGAGAACCGGGGTGAGTGTGAGTGAGTGTATGTGTGAGTGTGTGTGTGTGTAAGTGCGTGTGTGTGCGTGCACATGCGTGTCCCGACCTTTAGCAAGAAGCCCTGGATTCCAGGACCCGAGGGTGCTGGGCAGTGCCTCCAGGGCCCCACTTCCCTGTCTCAGGAGCCTCAGCTGCTGTCCAGTTGCAGGGCTGATGCTGCTCTGGGCTCCGCTCAAAGCTGCTGGAGACCCCGAGGGAACGAGATCCCTCTAAAGCAGGGGTCCTCAAACTACGGCCCTCGGGCCACATGCAAATACAAATATTGTTATTTGTTCCCGTTTTGTTTTTTTACTTCAAAATAAGATACGTGCAGTGTGCATAGGAATTTGTTCATAGTTTTTTTTAAAACTATAGTCCGGCCCTCCAGCGGTCTGAGGGACAGTGAACTGGCCCCCTGTTTAAAAAGTTTGAGGACTCCTGCTCTAAAGTAATCAACCCCCCCTCCCCCAGCCTAGCGGCAGCGCACTCACAGGCAGGTGTGCAGGGCAATGAGACAGGAGCTGTGCCAGGGCTCAGGCCACCGGAGCCTTTGCGAGCTCCTGGGCCCGCATCCCTAGCATGTCTGGCCGAAGGAGGCATTGGTGGCCCCTCCCACCCACCCCTGGGAGCTAAACATAAACGGACTTTCAGGAAGAGGCTCGTCTGACCCCAGGATCACCAGGGAAATCACGCTCAGTGGCACAGAGGCCCTGGTGACACGGAGCGGGGCGGGGCGCCGCACTGGTCAGCCGGCTTTACAGGCAACGGCAAGGACAGTGAAGGACGAGGGCCCTCGCTCACCTCGCCCTCGCCCTTGGCAGCCAGGTAGTTCATCTCTTCCACATCGACGAGCTTTATCAGATTGCACGGCATGGGGGCACCGACGTGGCCTGCGTGTGCAGTGAAAGAATGGTTAGTCCTGGGGCTGGACTACCCTCCGGCCCAATCACTTTATGACCAGGAGGCCTGCTCACAAGAAGAACAGCTGGCACGCACTCGCTCGCTGCGTTACAGCCAGTCTCCCCGGACAAATTAGTTTAGGGAGTTTACTCCTAAAAGAGAGGCCGTTTGAAAGGTTCATGTCTCCAGGGACCTGTCCCAGGTTTGATGCCCTAAACTCTTTTTCAAAGTGCGAACAATTTGGATGTTGCTCTTCAGGGTTTCCAGGAGTGAGCTTCCCACACACGTTCCCCTGGCCCCTCTGGTCCGACGGCCCCGGCCCACCTGCCACCTCTCCCCGACAACTTGTTAACGTCTTGGTTCTCTGTGTGGAGAGAACACAGGCAGCTGGGCAGGCCGTATTCTTCTCTCACCCACCCCTCCCCTCCAGTTCTGGACAACACGGCCCTCATGTCCTGAGTGTGGAGGACCAGGTTTTAGGATGAAGTTTGTGAAGACAGGACGATGCTTCTCTTTACAGGTAATGGAACTGCCTTGCCAAAGGCTGGTGGGGTTGGGTTCTTTTCCCCACGCAGAAGTGACAGAAATTAGTAAGGTTGCAAAAGCACTGCAAATAATTCTCCCCGCGTGTTAATCATCTCAGCTTACAGAGGTCCCTGTTCCAAAGTCTTCAGCTGGTGAGGAACCAGGAGTTAAACACTGAGCACCGTGGAGCAGGGTCACAGACTTAGTGCCCACCGAGCAGATCATGCTCCTGGGTCACGTGGATGCTCGACCCCCGCCGGACACGGTGCTCCCGTGGTAACGCCCACACAGACCAGAGCCCGGCTCTGCGCACCGGGTGGGCACACGGGAGGGCGTGGCCAGGCGGGGTGGGAACCCGGCCCGCAACGCATTCTGACCCATCATTTACATGCGACCAGTCGTGGCCTCTCAGAGCGAGCAGGACGTATCCCACAGGGACGTTGTTGGGATGAAACACACACAATGTACATCTCAGGCCCCAACACAGAGCCGCATCCACGGCAGGGGCTGAGCCCACTATTTCTGTGTGTCTCCAGGTTGTCCCTTTGGGAACAAGGACGTGCGTCTCTCTCTGCAGTCTCAGCATCCAGCACAGCACACACGGTACAGGTAACTGAAGTTACCGGCAGATCACTAGCCCCCAGTCAGTTCCTGCGAGCTCTGCTGGTCTGAACCCGGTTTGGAGGCAGCGCCTCTTGCAGCTGCCACCCAGCTCTGGCGCCCTGATTCACAGGGCTGTGTCCCCGGGGCCTCGCATCTGAGACGCAGCACCAGTGAACGGTGAACTCGATCCCACTCCGAACAGCAGGGTGTCAACAAGGCCTGTCCCGCGTCATCGTACCTGCGGTCCAGTCTCCAGGGATGGTCAGGGAGCAACCGGCCGTGCACTCGGTCTGTCCGTAGCCTTCGTAGAACTGGGTCACAGGAGAGGAAACATGATTAGAAGGGGAGCCGTGGCCGGAAGTGCACAGAAATTAAGTTCCCCTAACCCCTGAGTAATGGCCCACGGGGGTGAAACCTCTTTGCATTTCCTGTTTGGTAAATTCATTCGATACCACAACATGCTTTCTAATGGCACCCAAATGTCTCCCCCCTCACGCCAAAGCCAGCCCCATCCACGTTCATTTTCTACTTTGTGACCTGCAGAAGGCGAGGGAGGACCCTGACACGGAGGACAGTCCCCTGCACACGGGCCACCCAGGAAGGCACGGCTTAGCCAGCTCGGCCCCCCCCCCACCCCCCACCGCCATGTCCTCTGTGTCTCTGCTGTCTCCTGCCCCCTGAAGACAGGTTCTCTGCCTGGTGTACAGGTGGCTACCCCTTACCACCCACCCACACCCTCTTCCCTGACCCTCAGACAGCACCACACAGTGTGGACACCAGCGCATGTCCCCTGCCTGGGGTCAAACATACCTACTTCTTTCTCTAAGCAACCTGGGAATAAGGGGACAGTCTAAGTAAAAATAAGACAGCCTGGTTGGCGTAGCTCGGTGGTTGAGCGTCGACCTAGGAACCAGGAGGTCACGGTTCAATTCCCGGTCAGGGCACATGCCTGGGTTGTGGGCTCAATCCCCGGGGGCGGGGGGCGTGCAGGGGGCAGCCGATCAATGATTCTCTCTCATCGTTGACGTTTCTCTCTCTCTCCCTCTCCCTTCCTCTCGGAAATCAATAAAAATACGTTTTAAAAAAAGAAGACACCCACGGGAGAACGTGAATGACTGTGGAAAGAAGACCCCCGGGCAGGACTAAGACTGAGACCACGGGCTGCGTGGAGCCGCTCACCTGACAGCCGAGCGCGGCTCGCAGGAACGTCAGCACCGTGGCGGACACGGGCGCGGCCCCCGTGATCATCAGTCGGACCTTCCCTCCCAGGTTCGACTTCAAAGACAGACAGGAGAGAAAGAGGGTTAGATGGTGGGAGTCGGGGGGCACCCCGTTCCCTGGCCCCCAGCTCCCTGCAGGCCGCACGGAGCTCGCCGATGCTGAGAACCGCAGGCGGCCGGAGAGGAGCACCGGGAGTGTTTTCCCACCCGACACTGCACCATTTGCTCTGAACTGGGATGGAAGTACGGCGGCACCCCACGTGCTGGTATCTTAAGGGATTAGAACAAGAGTGGGATGGATTTGTGGCAACTGCCACACTTCTGGTATTTTTTAGACATAATATTCTTCTTTGCCACTCATGCCTAAAAAGTTACCTCAAGAGTGACATTCTTCTTCCAGAAAAGTAAGACCAAAGAGACTAGGAAAGGCTACAATATCCTGTTCCTTTTCCATGCTCGACAGCTACAATCTTACTGATTTATCTTGGATCCCGAGGTTTTTGTAATGGCTTTGTCCTTAATTTTTAGACACGTGCCAGAATTAATAACAAGGTGTCATTCTCTCTTAACGTCACACCTCTCTTTTAAAAAGAGCCCCCCAGAAAATCTGAAGCCCAAGTTAGTCCCCATGAGCAATAACAGTGAGACCATCTGCTACCTGTATTTTGCGGAAGATCAGCTTATCCCACAGGCTGTTGTTTCTAATGATGCAACTGCGCAGCTCTGCTTCTTTCCTCTTGGAGGCGAAGTCCAGGAGCCACCGCTTCAGTGTGGTGTTTGCCTGCCCAAAAATCTAAGGAGTCAGGAAAGGAGAAGGTTTCACAATTCCTAGAATCGGGAAGTCACATAACAACAAGTGCTGGTGAAGGTGTGAAGGCATCGGGGCCCCCAGGCCCTGTGGTGGAAATGTAACACGGTGCAGCTTTAGAAAACTGTTCCTCAAACAGGTCAACATAGAGCTATATGACCCAGCAATTCCGCTCCGCGGTATCTACCCAAGAGAAATGGAAACACCTGTCCACAGGCATCTGTCCGTGGCAGCACTATTCATAATAGCCAAAAAGTGGGAACCACTCAAATGCCCATCAATGGATGGATGGACAAATGAAATGTGTTATATCCAGACGGAGGAATATTATCTGGCTGTTAAAAGGAATGAAGTACAGATACATCCTACAACCTAAAAGAACCTTGAAAACATGTTAAGTGAGAGATGCCAGTTACAAAAGAACACACATCGCATGATTCCAGTCATATCAAAGTCCAGAACAGGCAAATCTATAGATTCAAACAGCAGATTATTTTTGCTGAGGGGTGAAGGCGGGTAGCAGGGTGGAGGATGACAGCTCAAGGGTAGGTAAAGGGTTTTTTTTGAGGTGATAAAAATGTTCTAAATGGGCTGTGGGATGGTCGTAGAACTCTGTGAACGCACTGTACACTTTGAGTGGGTAAATTGTGTAGAGCTGTTTTAAAAAGATTTTTCTAGAAGAACTGTTAAAAAATGAGTAGGTTCTCACAGACGGCAGAAGCCATGCCTCAAAATAAGGAGCATCACACTGCCCAGGCCAAAGTCACCGTGGAGACTGCCCGCCACTTGCTGACCCTGCCCTGGCCGTGTGCGCCACGCTGTAAGGGCCCCACGGGGGGCTGGCTTTCTCCATCCCTGGTTTGGCTTAGTCACTTCTCTCAAGGTGGCTAAGCAATATTTTACATGTGCCTGGAGCGTTCCGATTTATAAAACCACTTCACAGTCATTGTATTCATGTGATGCAAAAAGCAACTTTATGAGGCAGACAGCAGGCAGAGGAGGCAACAGTCCATTGTACAGATGAGAAGACAGAGGCTCAAAGAGTTAATTATAGAAATAAAATGACCTCCCACCTATACCTCGTTGTGCCCTCATGTTTATAAGCGTGTCTCCTCCTTAAAAACAACTGTGAGCTGAATGAACAGATGAGTGAACTCTAGTTCTGTGAGGCTAACTGGACTGTCCAAGGCCACACAGAGGTGCCTGGCCAGGCCTGACTCAAGCCCGAGACTCGGGGTCAGCCCTCGGCCTGTGCTCTGTGCTTGAACTCACTCTGTCGAACATCCGGTTCAGCAGCCTCGGGACCACGGGGAAGATGGTGGGTTGAAGCACTTTGAGGTCATCCATGAGCAGCCTGATATCTCCCTGGAAAAATCCTATTTTTGCCCCGTGGCACAGCATCACACACTGGAGGGGGGAAAGCACACGTGACCAACACTGCAGCACTCCAGTGGGGGGGGTTGTGCGTACACACACACACACACACACACACACACACACACACACACGGTTGTAGCATTTCAGGGCAGTTTCCAGAAATCTACACTTAAGGCAGCTTTTTAAAATCAGTTCTTGCAGCCTTTGGTGACTGTACAACCTGGAAATGGGGCATTTCTCTGGATCATCCTGAAGATGGGGACCTAACAGAAACCAGGGGATGCTGGTTTGGTGAGGATCACAGAGGTTCTGCTATGTTAACTGAATGACATGGTATTAAAGAATCAAGTGTTTTTAGTCTTCCAGGCACTTTAGGTCTAATTTATTCTCAAAACAAAAACTTAGCTGCTTACTAGTACCTACAGTCCAATCTTATCAGTCTCATTTTCTTTCCTTTGACTACTAGAGGCCTGGTGCATGACATTCGTGCACGGGGGAGGAGGGGGCGAACAGGGAGGGTCCCTCAGCTCGGCCTGCACCCTCTCACAGTCCAGGACCCCTCAGGGGTTGTCCGACTGCCGGCTTAGGCCCACCACCCACCTCCGCTGCGCTCACCAGCCATAAGCCCAGCTTTTAGCTGAGCAGTGCTCCCCTTGTGGGAGCGTACTGACCACCGGGGGCAGCTCCTACATTGAGCGTCTGCCCCCTGGTGGTCAGTGTGTGTCATAGTGACCGGTCGTTCTGCTGTTCGATTTGCATATTAGCCTTTTATTATATAGGATAACTAAAAATCTCTAAAAAGCCACTGAATATGTTGCAGTTGAGACACGAGGACAAGTCACACCAGCGTGGCTTCTCATTCAGCTGCAACCTATTGCATGAATATTTCCTATTGGATGCAAACTGTACTGGGAGCCATGTGCACTTGGCAAGCAGTCTGCCTCTTTCAAATTTTAACAAGAAAAAGATGAGGCAACAGCCCAGGCCAGGTGGCCCAGCTGGTTAGAGCTTTATCCCGTCGTCAGAGCATCTACAGGAGGCAACCAATTGATGTTTCTCTCTCTCTCCCCCCCCCTTCCTATCTCTCTCAAAAAAAAAAATCAATAAACATATTCTCAGCTGAAGATTAATAAAAAAATAAATAAAATTTTAAAAATGATGATGCAACGGAAGGTCAAATGGTTCAAGCCTGAAAGCAGAAACCACTAGAAAGGCACCAGGGTTCACTGCTTAAAAATGAAAGCTCAGAGGCTGTGTCGGTGTGTCCCGCCTCCCAGGCACATGTCTAACACTACGTCCAGCTACACATGGTCCATTATCAACTCATTTGCCCTCTCGTGCCAAGCTCGCAAGCTCTCCTGAGGTGTGCAGGAGGCGGAGGAAGACCGGAAGATGGGAGCTAAGATCCCTGGTCCTCGGGGTGAGGAAATCCCACAGGGCACAGGCAATCCAAGGGCGGAGCCATTGGTAAGCAGCTCTGCCACCAACACCTCGCACAGGGTGAGGCGCACGGGTGCTGCTCAATAAATACTTGCTAAATAAAGGAATGCTGCTCATTTCTCCTATAAGACAACCCAGAGGGGGCAGGCGGGGAGAGGTCAATGGGGGGAAAAGGGGACACATGTAATACTTTCAACAATAGAGATTTTAAAAAAAAACACATTAAAAAAAAGAGAGAATACAATCCAGAACTATCCAAGAAGGAAAAAAGGTGGCTCTTGGCCAGTTTTTAAACTAGTCACACAGTTGTGTCCTGGGAGCCCTGGCAAAGGTCAAGATCATCCTGCTTTTCCAAGGTCACTTAGAATTTTGGTGACAAAAAATTAGTCTTAAGCCAACTTGTGCATTTATGAACAAGCACAATAAGAAAACCGAGACTTCTCACAGAGCAGAAGCCTTTACAGAATGGTATTCATAAAAATTCGACTTTTATAGTCAATCTTTCTGGAATCATGTCCACATTCATATCCTTCAAAAGTCTGAGCTTCTAATTTTAAAATGAATGATTCAAGTTCAAGTATTCAGACTCAGAAAAAAAAAATTGTACTCCTTTAAATAATTAGCACCATTTCTAAAACGGGGCTCGGCAAGAACTAAGTACGGATGGCGGTGTGAGGTCAGACTTACCTGCATGAGCTGCTCATACATGTGTGCAAGTGGTAAAAACGAAATGTGTGTGTCACTGGCATTCAGGCCAAGTACCTTCTGTAAAACACAACAACTTAGAACACAAACAAACCAGCAAGCAAGGAAAACAAAACTCAGTGCCTTACCTCGACAACTCTTTCAAACATATGGGCAAGAGGCAAGAAAGAGATGAGAGTATCATCTGGGGTGGGATTGACAATGTTCTGTAAGCAAAGACACCAGCAGGCAGAGAGGCATTAAGATTCCAGCAATTTCCCACGTCACTTAGAGCACACGACCCCTCGACACTCGGGAGAAAAGGCTTTTGCTTACGCTCTGCACGTATTTCTCACTAAGGAGTGAAGTGAAAAGCAATACTTCAGTTACTCAGATAGGGTGGGGGTCATTTCTAATGACAAAGTGAATGCACTCAGGACTTTATAAGAAATGTTTTGCCCAAATTGGGATGCGAGGGGATCGTGTGCTCTAATCATTAATTATTTCAAAATTACAGTACCCTAGAACCCAGCAAGCTCAATTCCACCTCAGGGTAAGATCCAGCACAACATAGGCAGCGTGCTATGTTGTGGAAATATGAGATCCAGTCCAACGTAAGACAGCATGTTATGCTGTACTGGGGAAGCGGGAGAGAAGGTAGGAGAAACTGGATTTCCAAGCTCCTTTTATCTACAGCACAAGTGCATCTGGAGTATTTTAGTTTGATCAACAGCTTTACCATAAAGCCCCCCTCACCCGTGAAATACAACCCGGTTTGTTTAATGCAAGCTCTGGGCTGGCGCCAGGGATTTGCTTTCCCCTGACGCGCGGGTGGTGATAGGTTTGTATCTGGACTGAGTCCGGACATCTGGCTTCCAGGCCCGGCTCCCCGTGGCCGGCACAGCGAGGGTTTGCATGGAGTGCTCGTGTCGTTAGCCAGTCCTGAGCGAGCACAGGAGTCCCAGAGCACGTGATGTAGCCTGGACATGCCCAACCTGAGAGTAATTTCACGCAAGGATGACCTGCATCCAAACTAGTACTTCTCTGTGGGCAAGCGCTAGATCTAGCACGATCAGAAATCAGACTCAATGGTATTTACAGTTTTCAATTTTCCGATTTAGTGCAACAACGTCGTCTGCATTAGTATGATCAGAAGTTTTTACGACACTGCGAATGCCCCAATAATACAGAACTTTAAACAAAGTTCTATAACCATTTCTCTCATGAGCCACTGATGCACTTGAAGCTTTCTTTGAAGGCCCATTAGAAAGTGAGAAGTGAGCTTTGGTAAGGTAGTGAGGGTTGGCTCCTGTTTAGAAAGTATATACCAAGAGAGGGGTTTCGGACTAAGAGGGTGTGAGTGTAAGTGGCAGTGAGATCGACCTTCTGCACCAGCAGAGATGCCCATTCTCCCAACCCAAGAGTGCAGGCTCCTGCACAGACAGAACCCACAGAGACCGAGCGTGCACATTGCACAAACCGTGCCGAGGGTCTGAGACAGAGGCGTCGCGCTGTTCAATAGCAACTTCTAAAGGGCACGTTTGAAATATACCCTTGGTATTATGGACTGCATGGTGGCTTCTCCCCCCCAGCTCCCTCCAAACTCATATGCCGAAGGCCTAACCCAATGTGGCCATATTTGGAGATAGGGCCATTGGGAGGTAATTAAGGCTGAATGAGGTCATAAGAGTGGGGCCCTGATCCAAAAGGAACGATGTCCTTGTAAGAAGAGGAGACACCAGAGAACTCTCTCATGCTCCTTGTGCACAAGAGGAAAGGCCATGTGAGGCAGAGGGAGAAGGCGGCTGTCTACAAGCCAGGAAGAGAGCCCTCATCAGAACCCGAATTCACTGCACCTTGATCATGGACTTCTAGTGTCCAGAATGCTGCTGTTTCAGCTGCTGAGTCTGGGCTATTTTGTTATGGCAGCCCACGCAGACTAAGACACTTGGATAGCAACTGAAGTTTGAGGCTTTAGTCCTTCTGATAAAATGGAAGTCAAACCGACCATAAAAGTAATAATAACTCAAAACCTTCAGCAGCATCTAATGTTTCATTGCCAACTTAAGGAAGTTATTTTCCCCCACTGGGACAGGAGATAAAAGCACAAGACAGTCATTTCTCCCCTGCCTTTACCACTCTCATTCTCGAGGCCTAATGCCAACCAATGAACACGAAGAAAGATGGCAACATCCCAAAGGTTTACCTCTGTCACTTTCACAAACCCCGAGGCGTCGCTCACTATGTTCCGATGAGTGATCATTGCTCCTTTGGGGTTGCCTGAGGAACACACGTGAGCAAACAAAGTCAGAGGACAGAAACTCCATCCAGAAACGAACGACAGACACAGAGAACACTCCATAGCTAGGGCCTCAGGGGCCTGAGAGTCAGGTACATCCAGGAAAGCCAAATGCTGAGTCACATCAATTCCTGAGCGATCTGCAATCCTTTCAAACGAAACTTGGTATCGTAAACAACCTTTACTGCTATGGGCAAATTCTGGAGGGTGTGTGGCAATAAGAGAAGAAAAACCAGGAGTTTGTTTGTATTTCTGTAAATCACCGATACAGTTTGTCTCAGGACGATGGATGAAGTGTCACCTTCAATAAATGGCTGAGGAAATATATGACACTCAGATTCTGAGAGTGTCTCACAGAGTGACAAGAAGACAGTGTCTGAACTACTTCTGTCTCTTCTGCCTTCGGTCCACCGAAGTAACTCGTCCTCACAAGGGGGCAGGAGTACACACTGGCAGGTACCACTCAGAAGCAAGTCCATTGCAAAACTTACCAGTGGTTCCACTTGTGAAACAAATGACTGCAAGATCTTCAGGTGCTGGAGGCTGCAGCACAGTAAAGAAGGAGAAGAACACGGCATGAGTCAGAACAGACAACTGTGAGCCATAACCCGTCACCTACCATTCCTGCTCGTCTCCGAGGAGACTAGATAGTGGGAATGCCAGGGGACTGTGCAGGCCTGACAGTCTTACCTTGGGCTTCTTCCTGTTGGCTCTTCCCAGGTCCTATAGAAAAGAGGAAAACATCTTAAATGGACACTCTTCTCCATGTAAAGAAGAAGGTCACATCAGGTCCCTCCACCTGACTTCGCTGTGGGACTCCCTGGGGGCTGCTCAAAGACAGCATACATTTCCTATTACGTCAACTACGGCAACTTAAGTCAACCTGAACCAAAAGACATACCCACGGCTCCAAGAAGCCACTGTCCAGACATCTCTCTTACACAAGACTCTGTAAATGGCATTAGGATGGCCTTTGCAATAGGATTTACTCAAAAGACAGGAATCAGAGTGTTTTATGATAGATTTCCTGGCCCCTACTTCCTATTCTGACCTTCCACAAAACCCAGCTCCTGACCGTCACCAAAGAACTAGCTGTAGATGCTTAGCCCGGTCCCCAAACCAGAGCACAGCAAGGTACCTGCTCACCCAATCTGCCTAGCGAACACCTTCATCCAGAGAGAGTCAGTGTGCAGATTTCAGTGCCAGCCATTTCAGAAGCCCAAGTACCGTACTCCCCATGAGGAGTGGAGAAAAGACTTGGGAACTTCTGATTATCAAACAGGCCTGAATGGAAGATTTAAGGCCGCTCCAGAATGGACGTGAAGGTTACAAAGGACAGATTCGCCTTAGCCGGTTTGGCTCAGTAGTTAGAGTGTCGGCCCACAGACTGAAGGGGCTTAGGTTCGATTCCAGTGAAGGGCATATACTTCCATCCGCAGCCTGGGTCAGGGTGCATGCAGGGGGCAACCAATCGATGTGTCTCTCTCACATCGGTACTTCTCTCTCTGTCGCTCCCTCTGCCTTTCACTCTCTCTAAAAAATCAATGGAAAAATATCCTCAGGTGAGGATTAACAACAAAAAGAAGGATGGGTTCATTTAGGAGGCGCTGCGTATCCCAGCAGCTGCTCCCACCAAGGGTTCACTGTGACATTAGTCAGTTTACTGCATGAAGCAGTTCCTGTAACAACGTTAAGCTCTATTAATTTTTACTTATTTATATTTTAAAATATATTTTGATTGATTTCGGAGAGGAAGGGAGAGGGAGATAGAGATAGAAACATCATGATGAGAGAGAATCATCGATCAGCTGCCTCCTGCACGTACCCTACTGGGGATTGAGCCCGCAACCCGAGCATGTGCCCTTGACTGGAATCGAACCCGGGACCATCCAGTCCACAGGCCAATGCTCTATCCACTGAGCCAAACCAGCGAGGGCTAATCTCTATTAATTTTTAAAATGAACTCTGTATATTCTTTTCCTATGGAAATTGAACCGCTTGAGTGAGCACACCTAGATCAATAAAAATCACACGGGTGTGCGCAGGCCTCAGTGAGTTTCTGTCCAGCGCAGTTTTCAACAGTTTTTCATCTTCTTTTCATTTTAAGTTACATACATAGCAGATCGCTGACTAAACACAGGAATACTAACATTCAAACTGAAGCCAACTAAGAACTAAATCAATGAGAATTCCCTCCTTTTTTTCCCAAAATAATCTTCATCAGATCTAAATTCTTACTCATCTACTCAAAATTCTTACACAACTTCTTGAGATCCCTAATTCTTCAAAAATTGATATTAAGTCAAATAAGCAGTAGTCATATGCAATTTAGCTTTCAGTTTATTGGGAACTGTGGTAGGCAGTTAGACAGAGAAAGGTCGGTGAGCCAAGGACAGAAACTCACCAGGGCAGAAAGCCTGGGTGCCTAGCAACGGGCAAAACCGGAAAATCAAGGACCTCACCCCCAGGGTGACCTCTCCTCCCCCAGCAGATCCTGGTCTTGCGGTTTGGACCCCCTGGCCTTTCCTCCCTAGAAGACATAATGTCTAGGCCTCAGCTGTACTAGTACTTCAGCTCCAGGCCCAGAAAAGCAGCAAAACCCGCCCAGGACTGCTGCGGACCCCAGGACCAGCTGCACTGGACTACGCCCCCTGCCTGCCAGCAATCAGTAGAGACCCTGAAAGGACACACCTGAAAAGCTGATGAATATTCTATGAGACCCTCCCCTGGGACCGCCCCTGAAATCCCACCCTTAAAAGCTGTAGGAGGGAGTAAGTACATCCACACCTGCTCCCCCTTCCTGTCTCCTCCCCGCCCCTCAGGCCCTTTGCCCTCCCCTTCCTCCCTCCTAGCTCCAGGGCCCTTCTTTTGCCTCTGTAACTTGTTTCCTGACTCATTTCTTCCTCCTCTGTGATTTTCTAAATAAATGTTCTCTTTGGTATTTAGTCGTGGCCCTGAAATTTTTCCTAGAACTCAAGTACAGAGGTTGCTGAACCCAGGTCCGGTCTGACCCCACAGACCCAACACCTGGTGCCATTATGGCCACCAACAGAACTATGTTATCCAAACTGGTGCACTATTTGCCAAGAAAGCTTCATTGCCTGAAGCCTGTCTTATGTGATCATTTAGAAGAAAGCACAGTCATCATAAAAGTAAACAAGCTGCCATCTTCAGGTTCCAAATGCCAAAAAAGAAGAGCCATAAGCAAAGGAAACACTGAATTCAGTTAATGATTAGCACGCTGTAGTTCTAAGGGTGATGAAATCTGCAACCTACTAAAAATGTATTAAATAAAAGACTGATGGATGAATAGAGGGACAGAGTGAGCGACAAACATGTGATTAAGCAAATACATCAAAATGTTAATTGTAGACTTTTGGTGGATACATTGCCATCTACAGTACTATTATTTCAACTTATTTTCATGTTTTAAAATTTTTATAATAAAATATTGGATAAAATGCAAACATTCCAAATACCAATATTTCTATTTTTGATCTCACATAAATGTATAGTAATATAAACGTGATCACAAGATCAGCCATAAACCTAATTTTAAATAAGTCTGTGTCAACACTACTATTAGTGGGGGCCACATGCTAAGGTATAAAAATGTCAATCACTATTTTGTACACCTGAAACTAACATAATATTGTATACCAACTATACTTACATTTAAAAAGGTACGACAACAATGAAATCAACAGAGGTGTGAGGCGTCAACTAGAGATACAAGTAACAACTTTTACAATAAACGTAAGCTTTTACAAGACCAAGAAAAGTTCATTTCTTAAAACCTTAATCTTTTGCTCACAAAATTTTTAAAAACAAAATATGAATCATATTACACAGGTAAGTATAAAGCAATGTCTTTTATAAATAAGGATTTTAATATAAATTTTATATTATAATCTTCATTCACCCATCTACACTTTTAACCTTAAAATTACTTCTTTATCATATAGTAGTCAAAAAAGACAAAAAAAATTCCGGTGTGTGTGTATGTGTGTTGGGGTGGTTAGGGAGAAGGGGTGTGTGTGTCTGTGAGTAGGTGATGTGTGTCTGTGAATGTGAGAGTACTGTGTAAGTATGTGATGTGTGTGTGTGTGTGTCTGTGAGTGTGTGATGTGTGTGTGTGTCTGTGAGTGTGTGTGTGTGTGTGATGTGTGAGTGTGTCTGTGTGTGATGTGTGAGTGTGTGATGTGTGTGTGTGTGTGTGTCTGTGAGTGTGTGATGTGTGAGTGTGTGAGTGTGAGTGTGTGTGTCTGTGAGTGAGGCAGGAGGCTGTTACAACAAATGACAGTTTCTCTCTGAAGTTGAAGTTCCGCAGGAAAGGGTCGATAGATCCTATTTAATATAGCCTCGATGCTTTATAGAAAACCATACATAAATTTTAAACCCTATTTATAACAGATCCAGGAAAGCACATACTGTTTTCAGAAAGGGAACTGCTGGCTCTACTCAGCCTATTACTTGCTATGATGTGTACACACAAGGTCCTCCTCCTGCCCGCAACTTGGGATTGAACTCTAATTTCCGAGCCAACGGGGAGAATCAGCTTCTCACGTGAGCTGATGCCAAACAGGCAATTTCAGTGTGAGCCGCACTCATTTTCCCAGAGTGGTTACCTTTAACGTTGTGATGAATGTGAATCTGAAGAAATTTAGTATGAAAATAAACCAAATCCAACATCCCTGCTGGGAACTCACCAGGCCTCTACAAAAGCAATTCGGGAAAAAGAATAAGGAGGCGGATGTCCATACCTGGCTCCGTTTTAGACACAAATCAGAGAGTGAAAGGCATTAAAGCCTAAAGAGGCACTAAGCTCAGTCCCTGCCTGCAAGTGAACGTCACGTTCCTGCCTTCACTGGTGCAGCGTGTCGGGCTCTGGAACAAACGGGTGAGCCCTGCAACTCGCTGGAGGAGAGGACGCTGTAGATGGGACAGTGGCTCTGGGCGTGCACGTGGAATTCTTTTTCACTCGGGACAGGAGTTTCTGCTCCGTATGGCTCATGGCTGAGGCAGCCAGCCAGTGCTGAGTCAGTGCGGTCCACTGGATGCCACACCTGCGCCCAGGTGACCCTGGGATCCCTGCAGACCTGCAGGGCAGGACTCACCTCCATGGCCTTCATGCTGGTGATCTCCACCCCGCACTTCTTGCCGCGTTCCACCAGCTCGCTGCCATAGGAGTCCATGAGGACCACGACTTTAAGGCCTGGGGTCAGCTTGTTTTCTACACCCTCCAACAACAGGTTGGCCTTCTCTGGCTTGTCCACAAAAACCAGGGAGAGTTCAGCTGGAGAACAAGAGGTACAATGAGCAAGATGCTCTGGAAAATGGGCTTGACTGTATAATTTTTTAAAAGGTAGACGGACATTTAAATATAAAACCCCTTTCAAATCAAATATAGGCCAATGTAAATCACTGAATCTAACAACGAGGCCAGTGTCCGCCCAAAGACCACAACGTACCTTTGTTGACGATGTAAGTGATTGCTTCGGTTCCCAGGGTGTCGTAGAGGGGAACGACCACCATGGAGAAAGCAAAGCATCCCTGCTCAATGATCACCCACTAAACAAACGGTAAGGGCGGGGAGAGAACACGACACATCATCATGGAACCCTCCACGGAGACCACACTAGCTCTAAGTGCATCTACTACTCGACGCCAGGCCCCGAGGGATTCATAGGGAGGACCAAATACTAGGCCCTGCTTCAAAGGAGGTGCGATGTGCTGGGAGAACTGAGGCAAGTGTGAAAGATAATTAACGAGACAAGCCAGTGACTCAGAGCCCCGAGGGCCACCTTTCTGGGAGGTAACTGAGCTGCCCCTTGCAAGAGCAGCACAATTTGGACAGATGGACAGAAAGGCAAGGAGATCCCAAGAGCGGGGACTGCAGGATTAAAAGGGGGAGGAGGTCAGTGAGCCACTGGCTGGCCTGGAGGTCCCCGAGGGAGTGGGCACCGGGAGTCTGGCCGTGGGTGGGGCAAGCGGGGCATTACCTCCGGTCTGTTCTGGGCGAAGATGCCGATGTACTGGTCGGGGGCAGCCTTGAAGCCCTTCTGGATCAGCGCCGAGCCCACGCACTCCGACATCTCCTCCACCTGGAGCGGGAGGAGAACCAGCGACAGCTCAGGCCCGACCGCAGGAGCGGAGCTCGGACAGCGGAGCAGCACTGCACAGAGATGGTGCGAGCAGACGGCACCGGCACCTCGGGGACACATTCTGAGCAACACGGGCCTCCTCACCAGGACTCACTCCTGCAAGCTCTGACCTCAGGGGCCCTCCAGCAGAGCGACGGCTGCAGCCGCGGGCAGGGCTTCTCACCCAGGCCCGTTCAGACTCCAGTTTTACAAACACCCATCAAATTATAAAAGACATACAGGGACGCAGAATTTTTTTTTTTTTTGTATTTATAAAGAGCAGCAAAGCAGCCAAAACTTGTCATCTGGTATCAACACAGAAACAGCAAGTTTGGGGAAGATCTTTTTAAAAAATAAGGAAGTTCTTCTCATTGGGCTCTCCAATTCCCATTCTTGAGACTTTATTCTTAGGAAATAATTCAATCGTAAAAGAAGGCTTATAAATGTTTATATACAAAGACATATATTTCAAAATTACCTGCAGGGGTGGCAAGCCCTTTTTCTGCCAACAGCCATTTGGATATTTATAACATAATTTGTGAGCCATACAAAATTATCAACTTAAAAATTAGCCTGCTGTATTTGGTCAAACATTTAATTTACTAATCATCTGGTCTTGGCAGGGCCAGACCAAATGGTTCCGCGGGCCTGTACAGCCTGCGGGCTGGACGCTCCCCATCCCTGAAAAGTCACCAAACTGCAGGGGCCGAAAGCCACGGCTGGGTTAAGTACCGATGCACATCTCTGGGAAATGCCATACAGCGCGTACATATTACAATTACGGGAACCACACCAAACTTAGAGTATGTGCAACAATCCTAAGTAAAAATACACAAAAATGCATACTATTATTACAACCAAGTAAAAATAGGTAGATTTATAAAAATGAGGCAGGACTATATACTTGCCCCATCCTCTCCCCATTCCTGCCCAAATTAACTAAAAAAAGCTTTTAAAATCTTTAAAATTGGAATTCTTTCCTTTCTTCTCAGGAGCGCTCTGCGCTCACGCCCACACCTGTCGGAGGTCAAGCACACCTATTGTACCCAGAACCTGACTGGCTCTGCCCACAGGGCCTTTGTGGCTCTGCCGTGGGATGAGAGCGACACTGGTGAGTGGCAGAGGGTGACAGTAGGATGCTAATCACCAGCACACCCGTGGCTGTGTCACAACCATGGCTGGCACTGGGGGGCGGGAGCCTGGGACGTGCCTGCAGTGTTCGCAGAGCTCCCTGGGAAACATGCGTGACTTTCTGTCTCTAGAAAGAGGGTCCGTACTTTTCTTCAAAAGGGGTTGCTGCCCCCAAAGGTCAGAGCCCCCAGGTAGTGAAAAAAACCGGGAATGTACAAACCCAAAGTTGGCATCAGGTGAGTCCGGTGTCAGAAAAACCCAGCCTGCAATGGGGAGTTCTCGCTTCCCGCCGACACACGAGAGAAGTCATGTGGGAAAACACCGCTGTAGGTAACGCGACACAGGTAACCCAGGAAGCACCCGAGGGTGCCGTGAGGCCTGAGGCAATCATGCAATGTTGCATGTGCAACACAGACACTGTCTTTGCACCACGTGCAAAAAGGAGGGATCTGAAAACTACTATTTGAACACTATTATTTGGCTTTGGGAAGGCAAACAAAACAGCAAAATCCGTCCAGTCACGCCTACAATCCAGGCGCCACCGTTCTCGCCTCTTGGCCCTCTCGCTCCAGATACCCAGGCAAAGCCTTGGAAGCCGCTGGCCCTCAGATGAGGGAAGGGAAGGATGCTGTGCGCTGGTGTTGGGAGACATGAAGCTTGGCTCCTGAGCTGGCTCTGTGGCTCCTAACGACAACCCCTCCACATACACACCCCGGACGACAGCAACTGCGAACCACACGTCCACACAAAGCCTGGAAGGAGGAAGCCTGCGTGTGCTCACAGAGGCCCGGAGGCCCCGCCCCGGGAGCACTTCCTGGCAGCTGCACTGGGGACAAAGGCAGCCTGGCCACCACTGCCAGCTGCTCCTGTGGGTCCGCAGGCTCCCCTGGGACCATGGAGACGCATGGGCGGGTGGACTCATCGGAATCATGATAAAACTACAACTACAGTCAGTGTCCTCCTGCTCTGCTACCTGCCACTCACAAACACTACTGACCCAGCCGCACGTGGGGAGGGACAAGAGTGAGAACTGCCAGTCCCAGCGTCCTTGGCATTCATGATGAACACAGGCGTGTCTCTGAGTGGCTGCTGATGGTGGCCCTGGGGTTACATGTCGCAGGGGTCCCATGCTGCCAGGACGCACTGCTGAGCCCCACACCAGATGGCACGGACCCCACTTCTGGCCCTCCTTCTGCCACTAACCAGCTGGGACCAGGGGCAAGCCTATCCCTTTCTGGGACCCGTCTTCCTCATCTACAAATTGAGGGTTACTCTATATTGGGGCTTCTCAACTCTTCTAGAACCTCTCACGGCAGAGAGGAGCAGTCCTACCTCTCCACAGGTCTGGGGGAAGTCACCTGCTTCAACACATTTCTAGAATTTTATCTTCAAAATTATACTCTACTCCACAATGCACCCACATTGGTTCCAAAATAAAGCGCTTAAGGCCTGGCCGGATAGCTCAGTTGGTTGGAGTGTCATCCTGATACACCAAGGTTGCAGGTACCACCTCCGATCAGGGCACATAGAGGAATCAACCAATGAATGCATCAATAAGGGGAACAACAAATTGATGTCTCTCTCTCCCTCCCTCCCTCTCAATCAATAAAAAAGATAAAGTACTTTGAACCCGGAGCTAAATCACTTCACTAGTTTTCCCCAAATCTTTGTGTCAGACTTCCCCAACCGGATGCTGCATGTTTATCCTAAAGCTCTGAGCTAGTCAGGCACATACGTTCTACAGGGACCTTCCTGCCCGAACATTCGATGGCTCCCAGAACCCACAAACTGAACCACTACAGCTGTGCAAGGCGCCCACAGAGCCAGAAAACTCACCTGCTTGTAGGAAAGCCATTCATAGGGCTGGTCTGGCTTCCGAGAGCCCAAGCAAGGGCCGTTATCTACAAAAGGAGAAAGCAGTGGGTGTAACACGCATCAACATCTCAAGTTGTATTCCACCTCATTCTACACAGTCTCCGGCAGACTCTAGTCGTCCTCAGATTAGAAACAATGAGTTCAGATGGGAAACAATTCTCCCTGGGTTTTGGTTTGATTTTTTTGCTTGTTTACTTATTTCTATTTTGTTTCTTAAATGGGGCAGGAGAGGAGGAAATGAGAGGAGAGAAGGCATATGCAAAAGTTAGGAAATATCAGGATGTGTCCTGATTCCCACTTAGGTACCTAATAAGCAGAAAGAAAGACCCATATTAATTATGTTAATTATTCACGCTAAAGGCTAGCTCACTAATAAATATAATCCAAGTCACTAACATTTGGAATTACACATGTTCCTTTTTACGGGTGGGTCCCAAGCGAACTTGATGCTCAGCTGTAGTTGTTGAAGGAAAGGCTAATTCACCTGGGAAAAGCTGCCACATTCAGACGGTCAGAGTGGACCGCACACAGGAATGTGTCCTGAGGAAACCAGGCTCTACCACCAGCGGTGTGAGCTGGGCCTGCACAGCTCCTTCCCCGGGGCATCGGAATGAAGTCCGAAGCTCTGTCATCTCCCCTCTGACCGCGGCATCTTACACTTCCGCTTTGAGACCTAAGACATCTGGCTTCACCATTCTCTGTTTGAGCCAGCTGAGGGGTTCATATTTGGGGTGGGGACCTGGAGGAAGGGGGAGGAAAAGCAGAGCACGGTCCCCTCTGGGGCCCTGAGAAGTGGGGTGCGCGTGTGGGTTCCAGAATCCCGTCGTGAGGACTCAGGCTGTCCTGAGGCCTGGCTCCGAGGCCGTCCTGACCAGCACAGGAGAGAGTGCCAAGGGGCCTTGTTCTCAGAGCCTCTTCAATCGTCAGGGGCTGCAATAAAGGCCCGGCTGCCAGGGGCCAATAAGCGAGTCCCGGGGGTGATGCACAGAGCCTGGTTAACCAAACTGTACTGAGTGTTTGAGAACTGCTAAGAGAGCAGATCTTAAAAGTCGCCATCACAAGCAAACAAAGTCTGTAACTATGTGAGGTGATGGGTGTCAGCTAGACTCACTGTGGGAATCTGTGTTGTATACCTGAAACCAATATAACGTTGTATGTCAGCGTCATCTCCAAGAATAAAAAAGACCGGCCAAACACGACAAGTTCCACCAGATGATGTTTTCAGATGGAAAAGAAAATACATTGGCCATAAGAAATATTTCTTTATTCCTCAAGAAAAGGGGTGGGCCATCTACAGCCCGGGCCAATCAGGCCTGCCACCTGCTCTTGTAAACACACTTTTTGGAACGCAGCCTTACTCATTCCCTTACGTATTATCTAAGGCTGCAGTTGAACCGTTGAAAAGAGACCAGATGGCCCCAAACCCCAAAACATTTACTATCTGGCCCCTCACAGGAAAAGTTTGGGGATTCTAGCTCTCGAACAGCGTAGTTAGCTCCAGGCTCAGCTGAGGAACTTAAAATCCATACTATACCCAGGCCCTGCTAGGAACATTCCTGACATAATCGGACAGGGATGGGGCCTGGGCCTTAGTATTTTTCAACCCCCCCACCCCACCCTCCCTTTATGACCCTGAAGTGCAGCTGGGGATGGGAAGCACTGACACAGGGAACGCAATCTTTGCAAACCGCGCCCCGGCACAGCTTTGAAACACCAGGTCTAAAAGCTCCCGGCTGGCTCTGCCATCATTCAGCAAACTCCAACTCTCTAGCTCTGGTCACGCTCTCCTACGGAAGGCAACCTTAGGGTAGCCTCGGGGAGGCAAAGCTGGAATAAAAAGCTCCTCTGGGGAAAGAAAGAAGAGTAAAATAACCTGTAAAGCAACCCCTTCGATCAGTATAGGATAAAACACTGAGCTTACTTTTCTTCAACTTCTCCGAAACATTCATGTCAGTCCTCATTTTCCCAGTAGAGAAAGTGAGCCCCAAAACTTACGTGACTTGTCTTAACATCAGGGCACACTCAGGAGTATGACGTAAGTCCCCATCCTCCTAGATGAATCCTATCCTCTGCTAACAGCGGAAACAATGTATGTATATTTACACACATATGTGCTTTGTGGTAGTGGTAAATAACACATACACACACAGGCATACATATATTTTTTTTCATGTGCCCTTATGCTAGGCTGATTTACCTTCTATTTATTCTCATAGACAAACCCTTACCCTGATACTAACTCTGAAGAAATTTGTAAATTCAATATCTAGGAGTACGTTTGCTTTCCCTTTATAGTGGGGCTTAATGAATGTGCTGCAGGAACACTGGGGCGACACAGTGAACCCAGAGTCCCACTTGCCAGGGTCAAGTAAAAGCCAACGGCCCCGCTCACGCACAGGTCACAGGCAGCATGTGGGGGACGGAGGGCAACAGCACCACAGTCCGTGACCGTAAGGAGATTACAGTCTAACCGCCAAGAGATTTCAATAAAGCGTGGACCCCGAGGACCATTTCTAGAGCGGAACCTGGAACAAGCAAAAGTGAAGAGACTAAAGCAAAAGAGGGGTGGGGGGCGAGAGCATGTGTGCCAGGCTGTGTCGGTGCTGAGAGAAGAGGCGGCTGCCCTGGTCAAGGAGCAGCGCTGACGGGACAGAAGGAGGCGGGTAACACAGGTGCGGATGCTGGGAGGGGAGGGCGACACCGCCCTTGAAGGAAGGGGATGGAAGATGATAGCCCAGGAAGGTGTTAGAGAAAAGGAGAAATGCAACCTGAATTTAGAGGATTAGTAAGACTATGTCAAGTGCCCTGGGCTGGGGTAGGAAGAACAGGCTGTGTGATGGGTGGGGAGGGGAAGTGCCCCGTGAGGACCCGGGAAGAGGGCTGGAAGGGAGGGCAGGTGCGGGGCATGGGGTCTCTGCTGCCCCGTTGGTAACTAAGGGACGCCCCATGTCCCCAGGGCCCCGATGAAACACTGATTCCTGGGGGACGTCAGCATTTATTTCTTAAAATATGAGTCTCCTGACCGAGAGCTTTGAAAAATACTGGGCCAGGCCCAGGTAGGCAGGTCTCGTGACTGCAGAGAAGTTGGCCCATAATGAGCTAATGTGCGTGTGACTGTAAAATACATGACGTGCTGAGCACTTTGACGGTGGAACCTGCTCTGTTGCCACAGGGACCGTGCGGAGGGGCCAGGGAGCGCAGGGACTCACTCCGGAGGGGTTATGGGAGGAGAGGGAGGCCTGGGGGACACGAAGCAAGGCCACTCCTGAATGGAATCCTTAAGCGTCAGCACATAAACTCAGTAGTGCTTACTCGACACCTGGATGCCCCTCTGGAAACCTTCGTATACGGTTCTGACGTCGTCATAGAAATACGCCATGGGCTCGTCACTGTCCAGGAGCGTGGATCTCCGAGCGCCATCACTGCCCTACGGAGAAAGACAGACAGATGAGCACGCGAGAAGAAAGCACTAAAAGGAACAGCCTCACGTGCCCGCCCTGACCCCCAGGGCCCTGGGGAGCAGCTGCCCCGTGAGCAGGCGGTGTTTGCTGAATGAACGGAACTGAGGGTGCGGCAGGGGACCCGTCCTGTGTCGGCTCTTAGGGAAACGACCTGCCATTCAGTTTCGTTTCCACACGTTATCTAAAGTCTTTATTTTTTAATTGAGGTATAGTTGACCATATGCTCTTTGCGATCATTTCCACTGTTTCCCTTTGCCAACTGCACTGTAATTGGCTGGGTACTTCGGTTTCTCAGAGCATCTGCCAGTTACGATCATCGGCGACAAGACGCAGGATGTGCAGACACGCCTGTGCACGTGTGTCGTGCGCACTCACAGCTACGCAGAGCTGGTGCCGCGGTGCGCCCTTCTCTGCGCTGTCTTCCCCGCTGGCTCAGTGAGCACGCTTGCCCAGCAGACTCCTGACCAGCAGCCCAGTCATCTTAAGGGGCAGCTGTTCTCACCCTGTGAGCTGCTGCGCCCTCGGGACCTCAGACACTGCAAGGGGTCCAGATACCCATAGGAACGCCAAGCGGGCCTTAGAGACTGAGGAGTCAAAGGTCAGCTACTGTGATGCCAGAGCCTGCAATTCCTTTTAACTCCAGGGAGGGGCCTTCACAGTTGCAGTGGTCAGGAAACACTGTCTTGGGGAAATCAGACAGCCGGTACCAGGACTTCTGGCACCACGAGAAAGGACTGCTCGAACGTGGGAGAAGTCGCTGCTGGCCTGAGGTGTGAAGAAAGGAGACAGGAAAGGCTTCGCGAAGAAGAGACACAGGCCTGGGTCTCGGAGAGCAGACCGGCTGTGCAGGCAGAGCTGGTGGGAAGAACCACGTGGAGACCCTCCCTAAGGTAACATGTTTGGGTGGATTCCTTTTCTTGTTGTGTTTTTTTAAAAGTATAGTTTTTAGTTGATCTCAGAGAGGAAGGGAAAGGGAGAGAGATAGAAACATCAGTGATGAGAGAGAATCATTGACCGGCTGCCTCCTGCACACCCCCTACAGGGGGTTGAGCCCACAACCCGGGCATGTGCCCTGACCAGGAATGGAACTGTGACCTCCTGGTACATAGGTCGACATTCAACCATTGAGCCACACCAGCTGGGCTCTTGTTTTTTAATTATAATTCTTCTCGTCACCTCCCACATGCTCTCTTTCCTCCCCTCCAAGTTGTCATTTACATAGTGAAAAATTTTTGAGTAACACCAAGGAAAAAAATGACGAGCCCCTATTACCAGTGTGGTGAGTCCCTTCCAGACTTTTTTCTATGTTTTTACATTTATATACCTTCTTTCAGTTTCCACTAAGCGCTATATATGTGTATTTAAAACTAAAACTGCTAATAATTTTCTGGAGTAAATATCACCCAGTCATATATTCCTATCTTCACACACTCTTCTCTAACTTGGCAGAAACTTTCTCATACCTGTAGCCACGGTGCCAAATATAGTTAGTAACTACAACACGCTACTTTAGAAAGCAAAGCAGTTATTCTCCGTGTGCATACAGATGGAAATACAATCATGCGTCATTATTGCTTAATCACTAAGCCTGTTTTTCCTCCTGTAAAATGGGGATACCATGTGTCCATGTCCAGGGTTATTTTCAGTTAAACTACAACTTTCCTGTTTCCTGTAAAATATGAGCATGTAGACTCTTACTCAGACACCCTGTTACATGCCCTAACTACAATAACAGTCCTTCTTAGCCAATGTCTTTGCTACATACAATATTCAGACTAAAATTCAGAAGCAATTTTGTGGCTTTGTAGTAAGATTCAGAAAGCTCTTCAACCCGGGAAGCCACCAAAAGACGCAGGGCATCGTGACTGCGTGACTGCGTGACTCCGTAGGAAGAGAAAAGGGATGAGGAATTAAATGCCAGAGAACCAGAAGAAGAAAAGGCTAAGAGGAGGAAGAGGTGTGAAAAGCCTCTGCCGTGAACAAAGGCCTCCTGGCCGAGCTGCCTGCACCGGGGCCTGGAGGCACAGGCAGCCTGGCCTCCACAGGGAGGGCCTGCGGACGCTGCTCAGTGTTTTGTCTACAAAGTCCAGGCCCCCTCACTGCCCCCAGGCCCTCTGCTGAGTCGTGCCCACACCTGTCAACCCTGAGAAGATAAGAATCAGGGGCTAAGACACAGAGCTCGCTCTGGAGGAGCCTGATGCGTGTCCTTACGTGACCTGAGGGGCTCCAATGAGCACCAAGAGCAGGGAGGAAGTCAGAGTGAATAGACCAGAGCAGCCTGGAGTCTATGGAGCCCGGCTCGCCCTGGAGCCGAGGCCTCAAAGGATGACCAGGGCGATGCACTGCCCTTGTAAGAAAAGCATGTCACTAGCCCTTCGCCAGATCCCCCGAATGAGAAGCTCTGGGGCTGTGGCTCAGCAACCCGCGCCCCCCCGCCCCCCCCACCCCGAGAGATCCCAAATCCACGTGCAAGTGGGAGAACCACCGCCTGGAGGCCTGAAGGTCCCCGCAGGGAAGTGGTGACGATGGGTGATGCGTGAGAGAGAAATCCACAAGGAGCGTGAGCAGTGCGGAGAGCAGGAGGGGAGAGACTGGGGACATCCACAGCCATGGGCCTGGTCTAGGGCAGCGGCACGTGGGAATGGGGAGAAGGTGGGCGCGGGAACTGTATGTGGAGAAAAGAAGGGAGAGTTGGAGGACTGAGAAGACAGTGCTTCCATTTTATCAAAAACAGAAGACTGGGACCTGGGGGTGGGTTTGAGAAAAGAGAATAAGCTTAGCTTTCGATATGTGGTGACCATATCCCTTCAAGACAGGTCAACTTCCCCAAGTTCATTTTGGGAATCCCTGCTGTAGAGTATAATTTGATAATAGACTTCTGGCTAAACAAGTCTTCGGTTGGGTTAATTTTTTGGTGGCATATAATCCTCAGGACTTTGGGAAACGTGGAGGTGAAACAGTCAAACCAAAGTTAAAGGAGTTCATTATATTCCAGGTACAGCCATCCTCTCAACAACATACCCTGAGGACAAGGTATTTCTTATTATTCTCGTTCATTATATCCCAGGTATAGCCATCCTCTCAACAACTTACCCTGAGGACAAGGTATTTCTTATTATTCTCGTTAGCAATTAGAAGAATTAGCTGACGTTTGAGGATGAAGCAGTACATGGGTTCTGTGCCAATTTTAGGCCTAGGGGAAGAGGGGGAAAGGCCGCATTGCCACTTGACTGTGTGGAACGCCCCGTAATTTCACGAGAAGAGATGGGATGAATCAGGGGTGGCGGAGACCAAGCAGCACCATTTGTGCTTTGAAATGTGTTGCTCTAGAAATGACCGCATGTTCCCGTAAAGATCCATTTTCGATGCGCACGCATGTGGCCATGCTTCCCGAGCGAAACGCTGCACGCAAAGACGAGGTGTCAGGACCTTGGTCACACCCACAAGGGGCGAGGGATTGGAGCTGAGTGCTGGGGAGCACGTTGGTAGCAACTGGACTCAAAACATCTGCTTGCGCCACAGAAATCGAGCCATTTCAAAAGCCGGGGATTTAATTCTTGGGTTATTCAAGAACGCATGCCTATTTTTAGGACCGCCCACTTAAATAAATAAAAACCCTTCAAATTTGGCCTTCTGGACTTCTGATATAATCTGCAGACTGGGGGTGGGGATGGGGGTGTCAGTTTTGCTCAAGAAACAGGTGAACTAAGCAGATAACCCCAATCAAATGTTCAAGAAATCAGTAAGACTGTGAGTCAGGGAGGGTTATGGGCCTTTTATTTCTTCTGCTGTGCACTTCTTCATTGTGGCCATATAATTTCCCAGTTTTGTTAAAAAAAAAAAAGAAAAGATGGTGAGTGAAACCCCCCAGTCAAACCAGAGGCTCCCCATGTGAGCTGGGTTAGGAAGTGCAAGTTCAGACTCCGCTTGGGGGCAGCAAGGGCAGGGCCTCGGCGAACATGAGTGTCAGTGGTTCCCAGACTAGAACCATAGCCAGCAGCTGGCACAAGGAGCACCTGATGATCAGAGGCATTTGGGGCCACTCCCACACTGAAATGCAAAAGCAAACCACATCCTTGAAGACTTCTGGGGGATAGGAAGGCCCAAGCTTCATAAATTGTGGTCTCATGCATGTCCATCTAGAAAATGGACATCTATGTACAGGCCACAACTACCCCTCTCCTTACCCTGCTCTTCCCTCTACGGAGAGGGGTGGGGGCAGGGCAGGAAGAGGAAGAGGAAGAGGAAGGGACACAGGTAGGAGGGGAAGGAAGAGAGCGCCGAGGAAGAGGAGAACCCAGTAACTTCTAAAGAAACTGTTGAAGACTTGGCTGGATTTTAATGTTAAATCCATCTGGCAGGGGTGGGGGGCGATGGAAGCAGCAGGTAGAACCACAGTCCCAGGGAGTAAAAATGACTCATTCTTTTCTCTTCCCAATATCCTCCATGTGAACAGACTCCTCCAGCCCTTACACTCCATAGGGCGCTCATGGCCCAGACCACCACCACCTGCTTCTCTCTACAGCAGGGGTTCTCAACCTTCCTAAAGCCGCGGCCCTTTAATACAGTTCCTCATGTTGTGGTGACCCCCAACCATAAAATTATTTTCGTTGCTACTTCATAACTGTAATTTTGCTACTGTTATGAATCGTCATGTAAATATCTGATATGCAGGATGTATTTTCATTGTTACAAATTGAACATAATTAAAGCATAGTGATTAATCACAAAAACAATATGTAATTATATATGTGTTTTCCTATGGCCTTAGGCGACCCCTGTGAAAGGGTCGTTTGACCCCCAAAGGGGTCGCGACCCACAGGTTGAGAACTGCTGCTCTACAGACAGGCACACACCTCCTTTTCCATCCAAGGGCCCTGCAGCGAGGCCTCCGGCTCCCAGTTCTCATCCCAGCAGCACCAGATCCCCGAAAGGTCACACTAGGGCCTTGAAGGGCCAGCCCACA